GAACGAATCTATTGTGAACGAATCTATTGTGAATGAATCTATTGTGAACGAATCTATTGTGAACGAATCTATTGTGAACGAATCTATTATGAACGAATCTATTATGAACGAATCTATTACAAACGAATCTATTACGAACGAATCTATTACGAACGAATCAATTACCAGTGAACAAAATAATAAGTCCATTGAAAAAAATGCATTTGAAAAAAGCTATTCTGTTGAAGTGGTTTCATTAAATGATAGTACCGATATAAATGAAAACCCTAGAAATATACAAAATAAAAATACGCAATTAAAAAATGTAAATATGTTTGAAAAGAAAAAGGTGTCAGAAACACCAGCAATGGAATTAAAGCTTTCAAAAAAACATAGCCTTTTAAAAAAGAGAGAGAACTTAGAAATGCTACATCAAAAATGTAATGAACTTGATGAAAATAAATGTGCATCAGGATTTGTAAATTATATATTACAAAATATTCAGAAAAAAGATGGTAAAGAAACATTTGATGATTTATTAAATTATATATTAAAATTAAAAGAAATATATAATATGTCAACAATGGATTTTATAGGTGCATTCTTGATATTAGAATCATTCAATTTAAATATTATAAATGAATATCCATTACGTGAATGGATACTAGTGACATTTCATTATATAAAAGGAATGATCACTTTACAGAATATTAAATTTATAATTAAATCATTAGATTTAAATCATTTAATTATTAGTAATATAACAGCTGCATTTTATATGAATATTAAACCTATTAAAGTAGATGAAGAAAATATAGGGCGTGTACTTAACCTCTTATCAGAAGTTGTCATAAGAAGATCTTCTAGATTTAAACTTCTTAAAACAGATACTGAAAATCAAGATCAGCAGGATGAAAAATTAGGATCCTGTTGGCAACCAGTTCACACAATAAAAGATTCATAAGGAAACAAAAAAAAAAAAAAAAAATATATATATATATATAATTAATACATATGTATATATAAATATATATATATATATATATATATAACATCTTAAAATAATTGTTAACATATGAGACATTATAAAGGATCATAATATATTTCATTTTCATTTTTTTTTTTTTTTTCTTCATATAAATTCTATACACACAAAAATGTATATATATGGTAAACAAAAAAAAAAAAAAAAAAAAAAATATATATATTTAGAAATAAAATGGGGAAGTTTAAAAAGGGTACAATTTATATATAGCAATTTTGTGTCCACAATATATATATATATATATATATATATACACATTTTATATTTTTTTATTTGTTATATATTTTCATATGTTAATTCTCTAAAATATTTTTATTCTCTTCAAAATTATTTTCTAACTTTCTTATTTTATTTTATTTTATTTATTTATTTATTTTTTTTTTTATTGTGCAAAAATTAAAGACTTGTTGAATTTTTTTTTTGTTTTTATTTTTTGTGCAAAAGAAAAAAACAAAAAAAACTAAAAAAGAAAAAAAAATTGTCTAAATTATTTATTTTCTTATACCTAATTGTATTTATATACTATAAATAAAAAGTTAGTATTTTTATATATTACATATCATCATAAAAAATAATATATATATATATTGTGTAGAATTATGAGAAATAAAAATTAATATGTAAATATAAAAACATATTTTATATTATGTATACATTAAGTTTTATCATCCTTCCATGAGCGAGCTCAATTAATAACAATAAGCACAAAGGTACAAATATTATATTATATATATATATATATATATATATATAAATATATGCGTATTGATTAGTGAATAGACTATATATTTATTCACAAATATTCCTTTAAGCTTTGTCCTTTTTTAGCATATAATATTTTTTGTACATAAAAAATTATTTATATTAAGTATTTTTAATATGAACTCTCAACATACAAAGAATAATGAAAAAGACGATTTTATCATATACCTGGAAGAACATAATGTCATAAATACAATAAGCAATATTCTTTTAAAATTATATAACCAAAAGGAAAGGCCTCCCGATGCCATCAAGTTCATTCGTGATAATATGTGTAGCGACGAAGGTAAGCACAAATATGTACACACATAAAAAAAAAAAAAATATATATATATATATATACATATGTTATATATATATATATATATATATATAATTATTTCATTTAATTTTTTATTTTTTATTTTGTTTATTATTTTTTTTTTTTCTTCCTTCTTAGATTTGCCCATGAACGAATTAAAAGAAGAAAATGAATTTTTGAGGAATGAAAATATGAGACTAACGAAATCTCTTAATGAATTAAATGATACCTTACAAAAATTAATTGAAGAAGAAAAAATGATAGCTTCTACAAATGTTGAGAGTACACAAATATAATAACAAAAATATATTGTTTTTATAATATTTCATTTATTTATTTTTTAATACATAAAAATAAAAATCAAAGTTACAAAAGGCATAACATGATATAAAAAAAAAAAAAAAAAATTAACCATTAACAATGCATGAACATTATAATATATATATATATATATATATATATATATATATATATATATATTTTATTTTTTTATTTATGTTTATATCTTTATAATAATTCCGATATAGATTTCATAAAATAATCAGGGTGAATGTTAAGACTATTATGGTTTAAGTAAATATTTGCATTCGTTACGCCTGTTGAAACCAATATTGATTTAATATTACAATTCTTTGCAAAATGTATATCTGTTTCTAATCTATCTCCAACCATAACAACTTTCGAATGATGAATATTCAAATCTTTTAAAACATTTTCTATCATATATATGTTAGGTTTACCTACAACTACCGGTTTTTTTAAAGACACAGCTTCAATACTTGATACAACTGCACCGGTACCTGCCCATTTTTGTTTAGATGTAAAATTACCTGTAGCATCTTTATTAGTAGCTATAAATTCAGCATTTAATTCGTTAATACATAATTGAGCATATTGGATTTTGTAATAATTAATATTAAAGTCTATACCTACAACTACTGCTCCTATATTTTTATCTACAATAATTTCTAAATCATCTTTTAAAATAATTTTCTTATCATTATCATTAGAACCTCCTAACCAATCAAGATTAGATGCATCTAATTCATCACATATTCCTTTTTCTCCAATAACATAAATTTTTTTTTTTCTTAATCTATATTCTTCTTTATCGTATAAATATTTTGTAACAGCATATGCTGTACATATGATATGTTCTCTTTTTACATTTGTAAAACCCAACTTATGAAATTTTTCTAAAAAGCTAATTCGTGATTTTGTCGAATTATTGGTAATAAAATATACTTTTTTTCCTTCTTTCAATAAATAATTTATAACTTCAATAGAACCTTTTATTAATTCATTTCCATGCCATAAAACTCCATCACAATCAAAAAAAAAAACATCAAATTCTAAACACAAGTCTTTACTATTTATCATCTTCTTTAAGTTCCATTCCTTCAAGAAACTCTCATATTTCTTTTCAATGTTAATAATATCATCGTCTTTTTTATCACTGGAATAAATTAAAGCCATAGTTACTCATTAAAAATATTGTATATAAGTGTGTATATATTCTTACTAATAATTCTAAATATTTATCGAAGAGTTATTTAAATAGTAAGAGATGCCTTATATATATATATATATATATATATATATATATATATTTATATTTATATATTTATATTTGTATTTATTTATTTATATTTATATATATTTAAAAAATAATAATAATAAATAAAATTATAAATATATATATAATATTCATATAACAATAAATTGAATAGCACATATATATAAATATATGTATCTATGCATTTATTTTTATTTACTAAATTCATTCATTTTATATATATATATATATATATATATATATATATTATATATATATAATATTTTTTTTTTTACACATAAAATGGTAATATTTAATTTTTTTTTTTTTTTTTTCTGAAAATTATTATACTATTCTATATATATTACAACTAAAGGAGATAAAGTTTATTGTAAATATTAAGATTGTTTACAAGTATATCTATATATATATATATATATATATATATATATTATATTCATTTTTTATATTATATACAAATATTATTTTTAAATAGATCTTATATATATATAATATTTATATATTATTCCTTCGAATTAGAAAATCAAATAAAAAAAATTAGCTACTAAAATATATAATATATATAATATAAAAATTATTTAATCTAATTTTACACAAAAAATATTTGGTTTTGAAATATTATAATGAGACGAAATATATAAAAGTTAAGAAACCAACTTATAATTTCATTCATATTAATGACATCAGAAACATTACTATACTTAATATTATGCATAACCTAATAAAAATTACATATGTTGTATAAGAAAAAATAAATATTCTTTTTATTGATAAATATTATTTTTAAATGATATAATTTATACATAACTTTTTCACTTAACATAATATATACATATAATATAATATATATATATATATATATATATATATTTTTTCTTTTCATTCTCAATTTTACTAATGTAATATATACAACTTTTTAAAATATTCTTTATATGATTGATTTACCTATAACATTTTTAATTATAATTTATATATCAATATATGTACATTTTAAAGGAATGTATCAACCATTTTTTTTTTTTTTTTTTAATAAAGGCATTTATTATATTCTATAATTTAAAAAAAAAAAATAATAATAAAATTGCATTATTGGAATAATATAAAAATGTAAAATTTTTTCTTTCTTACTTTGAGACGTTTACATAAAAATGAAAAATAATACATACAAAAAAAAAAAAAAAAAAAAAATTATATCATATATATAATATATATATAATTATATATATAATATACATATTATAAAAATATTATATTCGTATTTCTATAATATTTAGTCTTTTATATACATAAGCTTAAGATAACGTGCCCGAGTGGTTAAGGGGTTGGACTGCTAATCCAATGGGTTCTGCCCGCGCAGGTTCGATTCCTGCCGTTGTCGAAAAAATTTTTGAGTAAGGTATATATATATATATAAAATATAATATTTAAATTGCACTCGCTTTGTGTTTTAGTTGTATAATTTTAAATATGTAAAAATATAAATAATATATTAAATTGTAATATTTTGAATAATAATATATTAATATAAATTAAAAAAAAAAAAAAAAAAAAAAATTATTTTAAATTTATATTATAAATGGAAATATAATATATACATATAATCGATATGTATATTTTATAATTTTATCATGATAATATATATATATATATATATATATATATATATGTATAAACTTTCCAAAAAGAAAAAAGAATTTACATAAAAATTATATATAAAATTTTAATATACATGTAAAATATATTATAATTTTTTTTTTTTTTTTTTTTTCGTTCTTCTTCAGTAGGTTTTATATCCCTCATTGATTATCATTTATAACCTTTTATTATACGAATAACTATTGTGTAATTTTTTATATGGAATTAATCATTTTTCTATGTTTATAAATATCGGAGAAAATTGTATATTCATATTTATATATTTATACTTATATTTATGTATTTTACATCCTGCACTGCTTAACTAGGTTATTATATAATATATATATGTATACATTTCAATATGTATTATTTTTCTTTTTATTTCGTTTTTATATATTAATATATTCCTTATAATAACTAAATAATCTAAATATTCTTGTTTAACTGCAAAAGTAATATTATACCCACTTATATATAAATATATATATTTTTCCTTTTCCACTCTTGGAAATTAAATAATATTATAACAGATATATAAAGTTTGTACCTAAATAAATATAAGTAAGATATAAGAGCAAAAAAAAAAAAAAAAAAAAAAAAAACACGTAAAATACACATACCTGGAATAACTGTTAAAAGTAATGTAATAAACTTATTCCTAAGGAGAAGGAAATATATATAAATATTTTAAATATTTTTATATGATAATAATAAAAGAACAAAAAAAGTTAATTTTCCTTTTAATATACTTCAACTGTCTTTCTTTATTAATAATAATATGTATATTTTTTTTATTTTTTTTTGAAAAGAAAAAAAGTTGACAGAAGTGGGGTTCGAACCCACGCCCTTTCGGACAACGGCCTTAACGTTGCGCCTTAGACCACTCGGCCATTCTGTCACATAATAACATTGTGAATTTTTTATTAATATTAAAAAAAATATGAACATGTATTTTTTCTTTTTTTTCTCTTTATTTTTTTAAAAATAAACAAAAAGGTAATTCTTTTATATGAAAATTATATTCTTCTTTTAAGATTTATAAAATAATTAGATATAAAAATTAAAAGATAAATGATAAATAATATTATTAAATTTAATTCTTATGAATATCATCTAATGGTATATCAAATATTTCATTTAAATTGTATTGATTCCTTTTATAACAATTCAGAATAAATTATATATATATTATAAATATATATATATATATATATATATATATATAATAATTATTTTATTAATTCCTTACCAAAAATGAACTATCTTTATAAAAATGAATATAATATTTATATATTATTATATGTAATCTCCTTCAAATTATTAAGAATAACTTTGTCAACATAAACATCTATTTTTTTATCATCTTTTATATTACAATCATCATAAAATGTTCAAATAATGTATTTAACAATATTTAATTGTCGAAAGAAATGCAGAAATGAATATATAACATATACAATATTATATGAGTTTATTATGTAATAGCCAGCATGTTATTTTTATTTTTATTTGAAAGGTTAAATTTATGATCTTAAAAAATATATTTAATAGATAGATTCATTTTTTTGTTTTTTTTTATATATTTTTATTAATATGAAACTATTCATTTAAAAAAAAAAAAAAAAATATATTCATATATATATATATATAAATACATATATAATTTCTTTTAAGAAAGGAAGAGAATTATTATATGAAGCAATTAAAAAAAAAGAAAAAAAACTCCGAGACCGGGAATTGAACCCGGGTCTTCCGCGTGACAGGCGGAAATACTTGCCACTATACTATCTCGGATTCAAAATTTAATGATTCAGTAAAAGTAATAATCAAATAAAAAAAGAAAAATAATTATATACATTAATAAAATTATACATATAATTATATTATATATATATATTATTTTATATTCCTTTCTTTAATATAATAAGAGTTTTTAAAAGTTTTTACAAAATAAATTTCTTATTTACTTCTTAGTATAAATATTTTATACTTCAGTTTATACTGTTTAAATTTATTATATAATAGTTATAATTATATTTTAGATAATTATTGTATAAATATCTCTATAAATTTATTTATGCCCTTTTTATATTATTTAAAATATTTATAATCATTAAAATTTAAATTGAATAAAAAATTATTTATTTATGTATAATAATGAATATTTCTAAAGTGTCAATTTTTTTTTTTATATATATAATATTAATCCTGTTGTAAATAGTTTTATAAATAAATATATATATTACATATATATATATATATATATATATATATATTTAACAAAATATTGATTATTAATCAGGATGATTTCTTTAGATATTTTATAATGTCAAAATATAATATTATAAAACAAAAAAAATATAATAAAAAATGAAAACTTTTCTGTAGATCTTTCTTTATATAAAATAATATGTTGTTATAATATTCATTTAGAATATATATTATATATATGTGATAACATTAATTTTATTCCAAAGGGAAAAAAATATAATAATAAAACGTTTGTAAACAATATTTTCTTTATATATATATATATATATATATATATATATATGTATATATTTTTAAATATAAAACAAAATCAATTTAATAGTTTAACAAAAAAAAAAAAAAAAAAAAAAAAATGAAGACAAAAAAATATAAAGAGTTATAGGAAAAATAATATAATAAAAATTATATATATAAACATTTTAAAATTATGAATTCATAAAAATTATAATGAAATGGATTATTTAATTATATGATATATTCGATAAAAAAAAAAAAAATAGATATATATATATATATATATATATATATATCTTCTGTAAAAATGAACCTACAAATAAATATAGACACATACATTTATATATACAAAGTTTATATCATATTTTCTGTTTTGTGAAATTTATCATCGACATGGTCCTTCGTATTTTTTATTAACTTTTTATAGTCTTGTTTATTTACAAATTTATTTATACACAAATCCGTTTCTCTATCAAATCTTTTTCTTTCATCTGGTTTATTTTTTGAACTTAATAAATATTTTTGTTCTTGTTCATTTTTCCCCCATAAATCAACTTCTTTATGTTTTTCTACAAATTCTTTATAATTTTCTTTACTGTTTTTAAAAAATCCTTCTTCATGTAATTCTCTTAAACTTTTCATGGGTATATGATTTGATTTTTCCAATAAATTGGAAGAATTATCTTTTCTTAAATCATTTAATAAATTATCATCACCATAAACATAATCATTTACATTTTCTAAATAATAATCTGATATATTAGATAACTTACGTTGCGTTGAAAATTTATTTGATTCATTATTTTCTTTATTTGATAATAATTCTTTTCTCTTTGAAATATTTTCTCTCAATTTATTTATATCTATTTTAGATAAAAAGTAATATAATAAATTATTAAATATATCAAATATATTTTCTCGAAAATTTAATGGTTTTTTATAATATTCATCTTTTCTTTCTAATTTCCAAGAACGTAATAAATGTCTTAATTTTTTTTTTAATTTTAAATCTTTTATATTTTCTAAAGATATTTTTTTTTTGTTATCTAACTTTTTATAAAGTGTTTTTAAATTATTCAAAAAATTATAATTTTGTAATATATTTATTGTTAATCTTATCATTTCTTTACTATCATATATATGTTCATCAAATTCGTCTTTTTTTTTAATTTCTTCATTTGCATTATTACTTTTATTTTTTATATTCATATTTTTTTCCTCTTTTCCTTTCTTCCTCTTCTTCTTCATTAGTTTTTTTTTTTTTCTTCTTTTCGTAGATGAGGAATAGCTTTGACTAGATTTACTACTATCACTATCACTAGATTTGGAACTACCACTAGATTTGGAACTATCACTAGATTTGGAACTATCACTAAATTTAGAATTATCACTAGATTTGGAACTATCACTAGATTTGGAACTACCACTAGATTTGGAACTACCACTAGATTTAGAACTACCACTAGATTTAGAACTATTACTATATTTAGAACTTCCACTAGATTTAGAACTTCCACTAGATTTAGAACTACCACTAGATTTAGAACTACCACTAGATTTAGAACTATAGCTAGATTTAGAACTACCACTAGATTTATCACTATCGCTTGATTTATTACTATATCGTTTGCTGTTCATAACGTCTGATATATCTTCACTTGAACTCTCATTACTATAGGACGAATTTTCTTTTTTTTTCTTTTTAACGTCACAACTTCTTTTAACTTTCCATTTTTTTTTTCTTACCCTTTCATCATTTTTAAAATCATTATCTTTACTAATTGATGATGATTTCCTTTTTCTTTTTTTCGTTACGATATTTTTATTCATTGCATTCTCCTTAATTTGTTTAATATCAAGGTATTCATCCTGTTTATTTTTATTTGAATTGTTAGGTATATCACTTTCTTGCGTGTCTATTTCTTCTTTACTATGATCCTTTAACATTCTTTTTTTTTTTTCCTTTTCTTTTTCAGAATCATTTATATAATGTTTCTCTTTCTTTTTTGTATAATCCTTTTTTGATATATGTTCTTCATACCGATATTTATATTTTTCTTTACTTATAATATCTCTTTCCTTGTCATCTTTTCGATATTTATAATATTTCTCTTTATTTTTGCTTTTACATTTCTCCTCTTCTCTGTCTGATTTACTACTCATTTTTTTTTTTAAATATATTGTAAATGAATATATATATATATATATATATATAATATATATATTACATATTTTAGAGGTTGAAATATTTCAGTTAAAAAATAAACATTTCTCTTTTTTTTTCTTTTTCTTTTTCCTTTTATTTTATTTTTTCTTTTCTTTTCATTTATTTTATTTTATTTATTTATTTATTTTTTTTTTTTTTGTCGTTAAAAAGTATATTATATAAAATTAAAAACGATCAATGGTCATATTCGGAATGAATTTTTATTTTTAATATAAAAGAAAAATCATTCAACAGTTTATATTCAAAATATTCATAATAATATTTTTTAATAACGTGCTCAAAAAAAAAAAAAAAAAAAAAAAAAAAAAATTAAATTTATATATCAATAAGCATATATATGTTCCTTCTAAATTATGTACTCAGAGAACTGATATAATATTTCCTTTTATTTAATTTTTCTAAGATATACTTTTTCGTTTGTTTTCTTTTCTTTTATTATGTTTTTTCATAAAATTATAATTAATAACTTATAAAGAAAAAAAAATGTTTATTTATAATCATAATTAAAATTATTAAATATAAAATATAATTTATTCTTAATAAAAAAAAGAAAAAGAAAAAATATATACAATATTATGTATACAAAATATACTAATATATAAATAAATGCACATGTAAAAAAAGAGTGTGGTATAAGATAAAATATTAAAAAACGAAAAAAGAAAAAATTTATATGTTTATTTTATGATGTCATATATAATAAATTATTCTTCAAACATAATATATATATATATATATATTATATTTGTATAATATATTTTTGAAAATATATGCATATATATAAATATAGATATTTTATCCATGTATTTAAAAAAAAATAGGATTAAAAGGGTTAATTTCATAAAATATTCAATGTTCAAAGTGGGAAAAATATATATATATATAATAGAAAACGAAATGAAAAGCTGCTAAAATGAATAAATGTATAAATTTGTACATATTTATTCGTTATATGTACAAAAAAAATTTTATATTGTTCTCATTATTCAATAAAATTTTGAAGGTTAAATGAATATTTAATATAACAATATGGTGAGATACTAATGCGGCATCTTCTGAATGTAAGGGGTTCCTATTAAGGATTTATATTTTTCACATAAATATATATTTAATATATAATATAATATAACATATGCGTATAAAGATAATGAAAAAATAAATAAACA